AACACCCTACAAACCCCTACCCCCTCCCAGCTGCACTCACCTTTGTGGGGGGTTTGAAAACCATGGTGTTTTTCCCTCTTCCTTTCTCTAAAGACGCCAGGAAAGATTATAGCTGTTCTGATTGGTCAGCGCCAGCATGTGACCATGCTGAACAATCAGAACCACTATGATCTGTCCCAACAAAGTAGAGGAAGACCAGCGCGGTTTTCAAACCACAGGACCATTGCACCATGCTGCATGGATGATGAAATGGAATCACGCATGGAGGTAAGTGCAGGGGGAACTGGAGGGTGGGGAGAGTGTAGGATGTTGGTTCACCTTTTTCATCTTTTTTTTTTTTCTAAAAAGGTGAACTAGCACTTTAACTTTATTTCTAATCACATAGGGGACCGATAGTCCCCTATGTGATATCATACTGACAGCAGAATTCTGAAGTGATGGAATACACATCACTTCTGGGTTCTTATTGACTAGAGATCAGAGAACAGACATTTACTGGTCTGCCTCCCCTCAAACTGGTGACACTGCAAGGTGGATAGCAGGGCCCAGGATACCTGGCACGGGGGGGAGGGGGTGCACATTCTAGGGGGTCCATGTTAGTGATCCAGCACTTGTACTGTTTCCAGATTGCTTCCATCTAGAGGTCGATATGTTGGCTTATGTTTACGTGCATTGATACAGCAGTCAGGAGTGTGTGTAAAACCCCCACTGCTATCAGCATATGACATACTTTGGAGCCAGCAAGTAGGTTAAAGGCTTGAGATACAAAGCTTCTAAAACAGTAAGGTGTAGGCACACTTAAAAAAATCATAACTGAAGCACACAGAATATAACTGGATACTAACATTTATTGGGAAATTTGATCCAGGGAATATCGGATTGCCTCTCGGGGGATCAGGAAGGAAATGTTTTCCCTGCAGGAGCCAATTGGATCATGCTTTGCTGGGGTTTCTTTTTGCCTTCATCTGGATCAACTGTGGGTATAGGATTAGAACTTTTTTTTTTAATGGTTGAACTGGATGGACATTTGTCTTTTTTCAAACAGACTAACTATGTAACTATGACCAAGGGCAAAACTTTTTTTTATTTTTGGATAGAGCGGAGAGGAATTAGAATGCCTGTTAGATTTCTATTGTTTTCTGTGCCTGTTAGCGGGATTCACCCTCCCTTTTTGTCCTGTTTACTATTATTACTGAAAGTTTGAAGTAAAGTAATATCCAAATTTTGGGTTGTCCCCAGAACAGTAAAAGAGGGGAAATCATCCTAAGGGGACACTATTCTGGTGATCCTGGTAACAACTAGGGGTTCCCTAACTTTGGAGGCATTTTCTCCCTCCCTTTTTGACTATAGGACAGAAATAGAAAAAATCTCCCCATTGGGACAAATATGGTAAAAAAAAAAAAACCTGGCAGAGGTAATAACCCTCCCCCCTTACGATAGACAAAATAAAAAAAAAAAGTTTTGCTTTAACTAATGAATTCCTTTTTAATAAAGTAACTTATAAATGTCCCTCCTTTAGTTACTAGCAAACACCTGGTGATGCCTCTAGTTCCCATTCCTTCCTGTAGTATTCTGATCACACTAAGCATGGAAAAGATCCACACTGGCATGATCAATTTGCCTCCCTCAGCCCGCTGATCAAGCTACAGAACTCCTTGCTGACACACAATGAGCTTTTGGTCTTGTAGTCAGCTTTGCCACCAGGCTTCCTGCTTAGCCCTGCTTGACCCAGCATACTGTACATAAACATGAAACTTATTTCTCTGCTGACGCTCATGTCATTCAGCTGCCCACCTTTCCGGTAAATGAGACCCTCTCCTCCACCAACACTTGAAGAGGGACAGGCAGGAAGAGCATAGTTTGTGACTTTAAAAGAACAGCACTTTAAATACAAATAAACTGGCTGCACACTGATGCCGACACCGATGTAAAACCAGCTTTAATATAATAACTAGAGGACTCACAACAAAATTCTGCCTGTCCACCTCCTGCTCTGCTCCAATGCATTTAACCCTACAACAGCCACCTTGCATCTTCACTGGAAGGTTTCCTTTCAAGGTGCCCACAGTCTTCTAAAGGCAGTTGAATGAACAGTATATACATGATCCAGCCTCCATTGCCTAGTAGGTCCATAAATACAAATGCTGTTTGTACCAATGGAAAGGAAGATGAGTAGCACTGGCAGTCAACTCTTATTTTAGAACAGACCAGTGAAGGTTTTTTGCCTGTAGCCAGTCAGCAGGATCATAGTCAATAATGGTCATAGTGAAGGACTGTTATCTCATGTTTACAGGTGCTTTAGTTTTGGATAGTAAAGGGAATGCTTTAGAACATTTGTCTTTTATTGTCCACGGACTTCTTAAACTCCTAGTCTTTTATTGTGGTCTATGTTCAGGCTAGTGAGACATCATTTGGATCCAAATGAGGGACAGTTGGCATTTGTTCCATAAATTGAACTGGCTACAAAAATGCTCTTGCAGTGAATCATTTGTGCCTGCTCCCCAATCTATACAACTTTCCAGAATATCCTAGATAGGGAGTTATTTACTAAAACTGGAGAGTGCAAAATCTGCTGCAACTCTGCAAATCAATCAGCTTCCAGGTTTTATTGCCAAAGCTTAATTGAACAAGCTGAAGTTAGAAGCCAATTGGCTAACATGCACAGCTGCACCAGATTCTCTAAACCAGTTTTAGTAAATCAACCTCATAGTATCCAAATATCCCTCACGTCACCAACCTGCAAGTAGCAGAATGATTATCATTTAGGAAGGAGGAATTGTCCGGAAGCTGATGAGTATTCCGTTGGAAATACAGAGGTGCAAGTGCTGGAACACCAAATCCTGATGCAGAAAAACCATCAATTGCTAAACTTCAGTTGGATGGTCCTCAATTTGGCCAAGACCCTGTCTGGATTGTACATCTACATAGTACAATGTGGCTGTTTATGGCAAATGTACTATATGGAAAATTGTTACACTGCACTAGTGTTCATAAATGTTATTCTGCAATCTTGGAAACTTTTACAGCGCTTTTCTACGTTGTTTCTTTATATGTTTTGTGCACTCTTTAAAGATGTTACATAAAGTTTACACAAGTCGCAGGAGATGTATAAGAAGTAACCACCGCCATATGCTTTGTTGAATAGACAGTTTTTTTATTGACAGGATTCCCTCTAGTGGCCAAAAACAATAATGACATTTGTTTACCATAGTATGGTAAAGTTTATTTGTCTTCAGTTCAAAGAAAGAAAACATTTCCTGTCCAGTAAAAAATATTGTACTTAATCCCAAACCCACATTTGGTATCAAAAGGTTGCCCCAACCATTAGAAAAGTTTATTTTTAAGCCTTTTTAGGACCAGGAGGGATTTTTTTTTCTCAGTTGGCTACAATGTATAAACATGAAATGAGACATTTTTGAAGCGGTTTTCACAAAATTGCAGTGTCCTCTGTTAGACAATGTGAACGGCAAGTGATCACCTTACAGTCTATAGTTCCCGTGCTCAGAAAAAAATTGGATTTTGTACTCACCGTAAAATCCTTTTCTCCGAGTTGATTGATGGACACACCTTCACTAAATCTCAGATAGGTTTGAAGCCGTTAGCTTCAGAAGCACGACGGAAGATGCAATGTAAAACTAAAGCATGCCTAAGGGGCAGTCCTCTGGTAGTAGCCAAATGGTGTTAGTTTCTTTTTAATATTTCAGTTTGTCTTAGCAACCATAGGGTCCATGCATACTAGGGGCAGAAAAAAAACACCTGAACCTCTGGCAGAAAAAGCTTCATAAAAAATGGCCATTGTGATTTTTTTTTTTTTCTGCCTGAAAACACTGCTCTAAGAAAATGCCTCTAAATGCCCTAATGTGCATGGCCACTTAGACTAACAGAGTTTCTTATACTGACCGGGGAAAAAAACACCCACCGCCTGTATAAGCAGCACTTTTTATGCCCAGTGTGGATGGACCCTTATTGTTTGTAAAAAGCCAGGTCATTGCAACTACACCATGCTCATGTATAATTCAGTACAGTCTCCAGATAGGGCCAGTATAAACACTGAATAATAACTACCATAGATCTACACTCTGCTAGGCAAGAATTTAGAATTTTGATCTTGACTGAAAAATAGTTTAGGGATTAAAAAACGTCCATCCAAAACTAATGATTTAGTTCTGAATGGAAAGGAATAAATTGCCCTGATACATATACAAGGTCGCTCATTCACCTCCACTGTGCTTGATTCCTTGTTCCTGTCAGGAGGCTCTCTTGTGAAGTCAGTGTACCAGATACAGAGGCTCTGGAAGCACATATGAAGCAGTAAACTGCTATTCTATCCAGGAAACACTGCAACACTGTTACAGTCAAAAAGGTCACGCCATTTCCTAATGTACAGTGTTTTATACATTCTGCTGCAACAACATTACAGGGTTTTCTTTCATGTAGGTCTCACTGTAGCCCCTTATCACATGATTCCATGCTGTGCGTAGTCTTATGGTGCAACATGCGAATCAAGTGATTTCTCTCATTCAGTCTTATGGGGACACTATGGGGCTTATATGCACTCAGAGAAATTCTGAAGATATTTTCTATATAGAGCGATTATGAAGGAAAGGTCCACTGGTAAATACATGGCCACATCTGTGGCACACCATAGCCAGCTTGACACGTGGCATGCTCCAGCACTTTTAGGTGCACGGGTCGTAGCCAGACTGACCAACTCCAATCCATACACTTGATGTCACAGGCATTGCTAATTGTTAAACCATCAGGAACAAGAAGGAGGTGACATTGTGCCGGCCCAACACCACCTACAGAGCTTACCATGTCATAAAACAATCCTCACAGTTAGACTATACGAGAAAGTTTGGACCTGTTAAACTAGAAAAGTCCACCAAAAATGGACTTTTCCTTTATTAATGTATAATTCTCTATAAAAATGATCAAAGTCAGATCCAGATCTTGTGACATAATTCCTTGTTTTCTATGAGAAAGACAAAGTGAAGTCTCTATAATTGCAGTTTGTTATCCTTTGCCTGCAGGGCTTTGACAGCTACATCTGCTTTCTGCCGTAGCAGCTCGACTTCCTCTGTGCTCTTCTGGATGTTCTTCAGCAGGAAATGGGAAATGAAGAGTTTTAAGCCTTCACGCAGCATTCCAAGCTTGGGATTGTCAGAGATTCTGATGGAAAAAGACAAAACATTTAAAATGACAAGCAATGAAAAAGCCACGTTAAATAGAAAAAGAGGATTTTTTTTTTTTAAATGTGAAATTACCCTACTGCCACATTGCCATCCATGTATTGTTAAAGTGCTCTCTTCCCCTGCATTCTCTGGTACCTAAACTGCCAGATCCCATCTACAGTGTCACCTGCTGCTGATTTATGGCTTTGCAATTCAAAAAGTCATGTGCAGAAAAGCTCTATGGCTGGCAAAAAAAACGCAAACTTCTCAGACTCATGCTGGATAGATGTTTCCGGGTTAGTTTTCTACTCAATGACTTAAAACAGGGGTGTCAAACTGGTGGCCCTCCAGCTGTTGCTAAACTACAAGTCCCATCATGCCTCTACCTTTGGGAGTCATGCTTGTAAGGGTCAATCTTGCAATGCCTCATGGGACTTGTAGTTTGGAAACAGCTGGAGGGCTGCCAGTTTGACACCCGTGACTTAAAGGGACACTGTCATGAGAGATTAATGGAGGCTGCCATTACTGAACTCTGCTTTGAGATTAGTAGTTAACAGACTGCCATTCCAATTCTGAAAATTCAATGTTCTCGGACAGCACAGGGTAGGTGCCAATAGCAGGTATTCTTCTCTTCCACAGTGCTTTTAGTTTTAGATAAAGTGGAGGCCAGGCTTACTTTAAAGAGTTATAGTCATCAAACATCAAAAAGGTATATTAGACATAGGCATTCAAGTATGACTGAGGACAATAAAAAGAATGAAATCAGCGGATTCAAGAATCCCACAGTCAACAAAATATAAATCCTATATAACAAGTTCAAACAATTCAGGAAAGGTACTGCTTTTTCACAGACAGAAGAGGTAAATAAAGTACAACCAAGCATCTACTTACTTTCCAAAGATCACAGCAAGATCATCAACTTCAGCATCCACCAGTATTCTGCTTAGAATCTGACGCAGGAAAGAGACTTTTGTTTTATCCAGCTCACTGAACTCTATGACCTGCAAAGATGTAAAAGAAAATATAAACCTAATGCTAAAATATGTCACAACATATACATAGGAACAATAAAACGTATACAGTAAATGCATTACTAACGTCAAAGGTGCTTGGAAAGTTGTTCTAAGATAGGGAGACATCAATCCTACCTTAAAAAATAGAGAGCGGAAGAGATTTCTTTTTAATCAGGTGACTCAGGAGCTGGATGAGATTAGAGAATGTGGCTGTTGACAGATTTCCTAAATCCCGGAATTTATCCCACATACTAAACTGAAATGTCATCTGAGAAATCATACAAAAAAAGAGAAATGGATAATTAGGCTCATTTTCATACAGCTCTATTTATTAAAAATAAAAACAAAACAAAACTGATGTCTGATGTTTCCATCATTGTGACAAAGCTAGATACCCGATTTGTCTCTGTGTTCAATATTTCACTGAGCTTGAACAAGAATGGAACATGTAAAGGCAGAACTTCTGATAACATAATTGTTCTGGATCAATGACTTGAAGTCTATCTATGCCAGCATAAAAACCGGTCACCTAGTATTTCAGAAGGCCAGATCAGAAGTGGCCTACATATAATTCTCAGCACAGTCATTTTCTAAAGTGAGGCAAACTTGACAAACAAGGATTATACTCATTCCTGCTCTTTTTTTTCTTGTACAAAACTCATCCATGGAAACGTACTAAGATCACAGAACACTGAGTAACTCCAACTGCAGCATCACTGCTTGGTGGACAATTCACTCACAAGGACACAAAACACAAAAATCATCACATCTCCTTGTAAAGATGTGGTTTTCCATCAGGTGGAGTTTAAATTGTAAAGCTTGATTTAACTGCTTAGGCCATTCATAGACAAGCACTGCTCATGTTCCTGCTGCATGTCTTCCAGTGCAACAGCAGGATACTAAACCAAACTGTTCAACTCAAACTCTGTTTGGATTATTCAAAATGTTTTGCATCATGCCAAAAAGAACAAAGCTGAAGTTAATATTGAAGCTGAATTTTTAGGTCATTTGATTTCCTTCTCAAAGAATCTAATCTGTAATAAAAGATCAGCAAACTTTAAAACCAACGAGTATAATACTGCATCAGAAAAAGTTTATTCTTTGTTATGACTTTTTATTTGCCTCCACTGCCATATGTGGCACCTTTTTGGGGGGGGGGGGGGGGGAGCGGATACCTGTTTTTGAAAGGTACCCGCTCCCACTTCTGCCTCAGTTCGCCGTGGCGAACTGAGTCGGAAGTTCAGCCCCCTCCTTCCTCTCGCTGTCTCCGAGGAACTTTCACAGGTCCCAGAAGAGGCCCAATGAGAATGAGCAGCGCGACACACATGCGCAGTAGGCACCCGGCTGTGAAGCCGCAAGCTGTCACAGTCTGGTGCCGGCACCAGGGAGAGAAGAGGCAGAGAAGGGACGGCGCGGGTGAACACATCGCTGGACTCCGGGACAGATGAGGGTGTATTTATTAAAAGTCAGCAGCTACAGCTTTTGTAGCTGCTGACTTTTAATAAACACAAAACTGACTGGAACTCTGCCTTAATCTTGTAAAAAAAAAAAAAAAAAAACCACACACACACAGGCAGACTCGATGGACTACCTGGTCTTTTTCTGCCGTCACTTTTGTATGTTTATACGTTTTGTACAAGATTGTCAGTAGGCAAGGAAATAAAAATACAAAGAGATTTCTAGCACACTTCAAACACTGTCTTGTAGTAAGAGAACTGCATTTTGAGGGCATGTATTACCTGAAACCTCCTGTCATATTCACAAAACTTGCTGGCAAGAAAGGAGTAGAAGGGGTTGTAGAGCTTTTCCTGCAGACAGCAGTCTATAAGGACATGAACAATCTCTCTCTCTTGATGATCTTTCAAGCCTAGCCTATGATGACACAAATGAAACTGTGAAGAGTCCAAATATAACACAACACAAGATACTAAAAAAGGAAAATAGCCAACCCACTGAACTACCACCTATTAAAGTATTATAACCTCCCAACCAGCCAGATTTAGGTCATTTAGACTTCAATGTTGTTCGATTTCCAATGCAACTTCGATGCAGCTTTACACTCTCTGGCACTCAAGTCGCATAAAAGTGGTATTGAAACCTTTTCTAAGTCGCATAGATCCCAATGGGTGCTACTGAAAGCAATGGGCTGTGACTTGTCAAGCGACCTTATGGGGTAGATTTACTAAAACTGGAGCACTCAGAATCTGGTGCAGCTGTGCATGACAGCCAATCAGCTTCTAACTTCAGCCTGTTCAATTATGCTTTGGCAATAAAACCTGGAAGCAGATTGCTTTCTATGCAGAGCTGCACCAGATTTTGCATTCTCCAGTTTTAGTAAATAGCCCCCTATTTGTCAGAAGTTACATGACAAGTCGCACAATTGTAAAAATGGAGCCTTAGTTCTTCACCCTGGAAAGGCTGCAGATCGCCCAGCTGTGATGCACAATAGGACAATTTTATTAGGACAAGTAAACCTGTTCAGAAACAACAGCTACAGAGTACAGTAGTATTTAATCAATTTTACTCTCTCACACCCCAACCAATACACCCAGTCTTTAAAATTTTAAGAGCAGCTGCAGACACGAACATAATTTCCAACAACAGCAGTATAAAATAGGGATACATAAGAGTGAAAATAGACAAAAGTTCCACAATTGATAGAAACTTAAATTTATCCTGTTGCCAAGGCCAGCCTGAACCAAAAAAAAAAAAATATTATTTAACTTTCCAAGCGCCTGTGTTTTAAAAAGCTGCTACATTCACTGCTCCAGGTATTCAATTTTTCTGGGTGGGTCAAATACCTGTTTCTGCAACATCACATGCAGTGGGTTCCTCCTGCCAGTTTGTACATCCTATAGTGACATACAAGCCAGTGTTAGGAATTACTGCGTACAGCAAGTGCAAATATACCCACACCCAAACCCAAAAAGAGTAGAATACCTGCAGTGGGCAGCAAGCAGCAGTGTTTCAAGACATGGGTCACCAGAAACATTTTATATGTCTTTGATATATCTTCTGTGTTTTAGGCATCATATACAACTGTGAAAAAAAAAAATAGTGCTGCTCATACATCTCCTGTTTGTCGTTCCATCAGATCTCCTCCCACAGTGGGTGTCGGCTCCTCCAGTAGCAAGTCTCACTCCATGAAACGATCACAACAGAAAAACCTCTAGGGTCTAAGCCAAATTAGGGTGAAATGCGTCAGCCGGACCTGGCCAAGATGTGAGGAATGTAGCTGAAGAGTCTGTGAGCTCATTAGAAGACGTGGTTGATCTATGTGATCTGTGCCCCCTAATTTTGTTACTGTGATTATATTAAACTTGACACAATTTGGAGCATAGACAACTGAAGTTCATTGCAGCAGGTCTATGTTTTCACAGCCCATCAAGAAAACTTACTTAAGTAACTTCTCAAAAGCATCCAGATAGTCTTCACTTGTCATGATAACACAGAAGATGTTCCTCCTGATGTCTGTGTTCATTCGCTGCTTGCGGGCTAGTTCCATGATCTTCGCACTGACCTGAGAGATGATATCACATGATCATAGATGTGTTTCATAGCATTAAAGGATGCCTATACTAAGAACATATAGAAACTGCCATTACTAAACTCTCCTACTCAAATTCTAATTCACTGGCTATCAAGACGATCCAATGGTTTTAGTACTTTCCAAGTAACTGTTTCAAAACTTGTATGTAGATCAAGAATTGTGACTTCTCTCTGACTATACTAGCTGCATTAATCTTCATAGTCCCTACTACCATATACAAGTAATCTTACCCCTTCACAATATGTGAATTTTCAGAGCTAGGAGCCCAGTACAATAGTTCTGGGGCTTATAGTGGCAAAAAAAAAAAAATAAAATTTTTTTTTTACTGAAAGTGGCCCCAAACGTAAAATAGACAATGGACACTTAATCGTCTGTCAAAGCAAATTACCCAAGGAGTAGGACCCCAATTTTTAATCTTCCTAAAACAATTAAACCCTTAACGAACCCCTCAACCAAACCTTGTTTTCTAACCTATTAGCCTCCTCCTAACGCTTAACCGTTAAATCAGCCCCCTATATCCCAAATCCAATTAATGATTGTCAACTACTTTTTATATAAAATACTCAGTGCGACCACATTTGGCCCTACTCTGCTTTAGGGTTAACAGCAATACCATTTAATTCTCTGTGTTTAACTAAAATACCGTATTTTTCGCTCCATAAGACGCACTTTTTTCCCCCAAAAAAAAAAGGGGGGACAATGTCAGTGCGTCTTATTGAGCGACTATGGAGCGGCCAGGCCGGTATTTCCACCGCCGCCGTGTCAGAATACCGGGCCGGCCGCTCAGCTCTGCAGTGGGACCTTAACTGTTCCTCTATCCAGCGGCGCGCTGTCTTCCTGGCTTCTGTAGTGTGCGTGACAGCCGGGTCCCAAGTGCGCGTGACAGCCGGGTCCCAAGTGCGCATGCGCAAGCGGTGCTCTTTGTGAATGGTAAGGCGGTACCTGGGACACATGACAGATTCCAGAAGCCGCCGGACCAATCACAAAGCACAGCGCTTCTCGCGCATGCGCACTGGGCATCCAGCTGTCCGCCGAGCGCCCACACTACAGAAGCTGGGTAGACAGCGCGTGGCTGGATAGAGGAACAGGTAAGATCAAAGAACAACTCCGCGGAAGAGCGGGTACCTGTCAAATTCAGGTACCCACTCCCCCCCCCTCCCCAAAGGTCAGCAGTCATCTCCTGTACTGTCCGCAGTCTCTGGTCATCCCCTGTACTGTGTCCGCAGTCTCTGGTCATCTCCTGTACTGTGTCCGCAGTCTCTGGTCATCTCCTGTACTGTGTCCGCAGTCTCTGGTCATCTCCTGTACTGTGTCCGCAGTCTCTGGTCATCTCCTGTACTGTGTCCGCAGTCTCTGGTCATCTCCTGTACTGTGTCCGCAGTCTCTGGTCATCTCCTGTACTGTGTCCGCAGTCTCTGGTCATCTCCTGTACTGTGTCCGCAGTCTCTGGTCATCTCCTGTACTGTGTCCGCAGTCTCTGGTCATCTCCTGTACTGTGTCCGCAGTCTCTGGTCATCTCCTGTACTGTGTCCGCAGTCTCTGGTCATCTCCTGTACTATGTCTGCAGTCCATTAGTTCAGAATTTTTTTTTTTCCTGTTTTCTGCCTCTAAAACCTAGGTGCGTCTTATGGAGCAAAAAATACGTGCTTACAGCATAAATAATGTTCCAATACTATGAGCTTTATGAGTGGCGAATCTCTTCTGCTAACCGTATAATAGGCAGCTGCCTTATTACAAAATTGACATATTAAATAAACAGAGCAAATATGAATTACTCCAGCAGCGTTCTACACCATTCAAAGAAGATATTAATAGTCCTCCACCAAGTGATAGTGCAATAGTAAGCAAACCAGTCCACAAACACGTCATCAACTGGATTATTAAGAGTCCATATAATAACTCCATGACATCCAGTTGAATAGCTCAAGTGACCAGCGTGTGTTAGGTGAGCCACACTCCCCTTCAGACGCCTCACTCACTGCCAGCAATTGCCTCTCTGGACCAGGACCTAGTTTCAATATGTTGCTCTGGCAAGCATTTCTAGTTTCATTGCCAGTTCATGAGCCCCCCTTCTTTTTTTTTTTTCTTCTCCTCTTCCCTTCCTTTTTGTCTGGATTATTCTTTACTGACCAGATTGCTTATACTGTTGCATGTGTCATTGAGCATGTTTTGTATTGCTGTGTGACTTTCTCATACACTGCTATTATCTTGTTATGGACTATAAAACTTTATAAAAATCTTATGGAAAAAAAAATAAAAATTCTCCAAATCAGTATATATGAACTACCTGTGGCCAAGTGACACCACTTGATAAAAAGTCAAGAATGCCAAATTATGGTCGCATCAGAAGGGGGTTTTTGCTTTTCAGCTGCCTTATAAAATAGCCATACATCTTTGTTCTGCAGCTACTCAGGTCTGGTCTCCAGTGGAGCCCTCTGTGTGCAGGAGAAAGCAGACAACAGCTGAAAAATGCCTGGGAAGTGATGACACCCACAGAGTTATTATGGGGCTTCCGTTGTTGGCTGCCACTCCTACATACAGAAGCGCCACTGACAGCTCAGCCTGGGACCGGACTGGAGCATGCAGAACATGTAGTGATTTTTTATTTAAAGGGCTAGATAGATTAGGCTTAGAATGTGGCTGAAAGCAGGTTTAGAGTTAGTTAGGTTTTGCCTTTACCTCCACGTTAATCATATCCTTTAAACACACAAACCTGCCACTCTCCACTGCACCAAAAAATATTAATACATATTAACTACGCAGTAAGCAGAGCACAACTGTATTACAACCAAAAGGAGCTTTCTGCCATGAAGACATAAATACAATGAAAAACAAACAATAAAAAACATAACTATTTTGTAAATGTCAAAAAAAGTCATATGTATATCTTTAAACTATATGAACATCTAAGTAAATCTCAGGTTATCTAAATTTAAAGGAAGAAATAAACGTGTTATTTTTACTATATTTATGGCTCAAACCCCCACAATATCCATACCTTGCCAACAGACTTTGCCGGCACCTTCCCTGAAGACTCATTGATCATTGGTGCTCCGCTCCACGATGACCCAACAATCCACCACCTTCCAACTTTGTCAGCTTCCAAGAGGTTCTCCAGTGAAACACGGAGGCGAGTGTCGCTGCCAGACAGACTGCTGTGAACCTTCACAAAAACAGAGCAATCAACAACAACAACACCATGTGACCATACATTACGATTATAAAGACTACTGTAGAAAAACAAGATTACAAAAAATGAGTGAGAATATACTTTTTAAAGTAATTCTAATATCAGCGAAAAAAATGTAAGTCAGAATGGCCAATTCATGGCTGGATAGGAGCCTGATATGAGTTTCAGGAGACAGAAATGTCACCAGCACACCAAGGATCTCCAGTGTGGGTCCAGAAAGGCTTTAATGAAGGTTTACATAGTTACAGCAAGGCAATGTTTCGGAGTCCCGCAGGACTCCTTCATCAGGCAACTCCGCTCGATTCCAGCCGATGGTCGCTGCAGCACCTGCCTATGCATACAGCCATCTTTAGCAGGAATGTGTGCGTTGGGATTAAGCATCTTCATCTTTGATTTGCGTTTCACTTGCGATGATGGAATGGGCTATGTAGGTCTTCCACTGTGGCAATAACAAGATTTTCTGACAAGAGGAAGTGCTTGTTAGTGCACACAGAAATAATCCTACTTGTTGCCCAATAGGCACTCGTCTTGACCTGGTCTGTAGTCAAAATGGAGGGAAAAGTTAAAGGATAACTTCACCTTCTGGAGAATGTTAAAAGTTACACCCATATTTAGTTTGTAACATGCTCCAGCACAGGTCCTCACCACCCTGATCTCCCTACTCTCCCCGCAACTGCTGTCACATTTTTGAAAACAGCGGCTATGCCCATATAGCTGTGTCATTCATTCTCAGGAACCTGTGAAAGAGAGAACTACAAGTCCCATCTGCCATCACAGCAGATGGCTTATAGTTTTCAATGAACTGTATAAGGTGCTGATTGGCATGCTCATAGTTTATTCACAAGCCCTGCAGAGTTCAAATGGACAGTGGTAACGCTGTAGGGCTTGTCTGACATTGATCCACTGATCACAGGTGCAATGCTTTGCAGGTCTCAGCAGGAAAAAAAATAATAAAGGCACTTTTTTTTTCTTCAAAAACGTGCATTATTATTATTTTATCTCAAAATGTGAACATATATAAGGACAGACAGATGTGTCAACGCCGCATATATGTCTGTCCTAATAAATACCGTCATTCTTACCATTCTGCTGACTGGATCTCCACTTGTCAGTTTCTGTATTTCATTTCAAATTAAAAGTGGAGGTTTGGGCTATGCAATACCCCACCCATTCAATGCCGTCACCCCAATGCTCCTCATTGCCTTGCATACATTATCACAGAAATTGCAAATTAAATACCCTAATTTTATGATTTTCTATGCAGTCATGCAACAGCAAAGCTCTGTCTCCTCTGTGTAAATGTGCGGCAGGTGGCAAGGAACTCTCTCCCCCACCAACAAAGCCTACAGCAGCGGATGCTGGTGGGTAACATCACTGCACTCTGTGATTCAGCTCCATTGTTGAGCTCCACATAACACAGTGGAGATACAGCTTTGAAGTCACATGTCCACACAGAAAAACATTAGAAAAGGTTTTAACTTTGCAGTTACTTTTAAAAGGTATGGAGAACGATGGGGAGGCGGCATTGTACAGCCCAGATTTCTACTTTAACTTTACATTAACCAAAATCAAGCCGATTAAACAATGTTTAGTTTGATTTGTGAACGATTCTTACCAAAGAGCGCTGTAATTTACGCAGTTTCTCCACAGGTTCAGGGTCATAGCCTGGTATCTTGCGCATATCATTGTTCTTTAATGCAAGCATCGTCTCCAACATAAACTTAATCTGCAGAATGATAAACGTAAAAAAAGAAATATAGCTACACCATCTAGCAAACCTATATAGAAAGCCACACTAAACCTTAATGTGTACAGATTCAGTTTTAGGTAAATGTTACTAAAATAAAAACAAAAAATTTGCTTTGCATAACCCATAGCAGCCAATCACAGATCAGTCTTCATTAAGCTGATCAGCCTGTTATTCACCTTTCGCCGAACAATACAGTCAACAATTACACCGCATGATAACACACCATAACAAATAAAGACTACTGTAGATAAAATAAATTTAGAAAACATAAGTGAGAACATGAATGGAAACTTGGACTGCAGTTACCTGGATCTCCTTTTCTATGTTACTCTGCTGCCTCGGAGCAGGAGAAGCAGTTGTAGCTTACATAGGGCTATGAACTCTTTCCCTGTGTGACAACTGCTGCTGCTTGGTGGTCAACCCAACGCTGTCACATGAAGTGAATCACAGCGCTTTTCCACATTGGAAGTTCTGGGTATTTGCTTTCAGCAGCCAAATGGAGTGAAGGAGAAACAAAAGGAAATATGAGTATATGCTGGCATGGTTCACTTTACTCCTGTACTGCTGAAGACAAGCATCAGAGACTGTAGCTGTTAGGGTGAACTGGTAAACTATTGGTGTGTTACAGGACACACCAGAGGCTTACAATTTTCATGATCATTTTGCTGGATCTTTTACACATCAAATTAGAAGAAACTACTAGGCTTGGATTTCCGGCTTCCAAAAGCTAACATGTGTGGTTGTTTCAGTTATGTTTTTATGTCTTGTAGAGCATGAAACACAAAGATTCAAAGAACCAGCAAACACAAATGCTCCTGCGCTTGGGGATGGACTCGATGCAGACTACAACCACATTAAGAATGTCCTGGAACATGCACACCTTGCTGCCCACAATAGAACAAACAGAGGGCGCACAGGCCTAGTGCATTACCATAAAAAATGTTTAATAAGAAATAAAATAGGTGTTGTACTTACAAAGACAATAAAGTCAAAGGCACGTCATAAAAGAGCAGCTTGGTTAACACCGGGCTGAGTAACAGTCCGTAATGGGGAGTGTAGACATCCCATAGGCTGACGCGTTTCGTGGACTTGGCTCTGCGGATGAGGCAAGTCCTCGAAACGCATCAGCCTATTGGATGTCTACACTCCCTCTTGCGGACTGTTACTCAGCCCGGTGTTGACTAGGCTGCTCTTTTATGATGTGCCTTGACTTTATTGTCGTTTGTGAGTACAACACATACTTTATTTCTTATTAAACATTTTTTATGGTAATGCACTAGGCCTGTGCGCCCTCTGTTTGTTCTTTCCTCACAAAGATTCAAAAGGTAGACTTGATTATACAGTAGATACAATCCTCAAGGTCTGTTGAAGGATGGACTTGCCCTAATCAATATTCCAATATTCATGATTAGCTATCCTGCATGCATAACGCTCTCTTGTTGTTATATACCTGCAACCTGCTTATTGAGCTTTTCAATGAGCCGTCACAAAAAATTAGTTTGGAGAAGTAACACATGTATAGCTGGAAAAGGGTGGTGAGCTGTCAAAAGCACAAATATGGGAGCTGCCATCACCAAGATCCTGAGCTCTCAACTTGGTTTATTTACCTAATGGAGTAATAGACCTGGAAAAGGACGGACATTTAAAGTGGTTCTAAAAGGCAGAAGGCTTTTAGCTTCATGCATGAAGGTAAAAAACCTTCTTTACGCTGCTGTCCCCCACCAGCTCCCCTAACATTAATCGGAGCTCCAACTCGATCAAGCGATCTGCACAAGAGCCTCAGCTGCCCTGGGACTTCCTCTCCTCATTGGCTGAGACAGCAGTGGGAGTCACTGGCTCCCACTGCTGTCACTCACAGCCAGTGTGCCAATGAGAAGAGATCAGGGTGCAGGGTCGAGTCGCTGCTCTATGTGTCTTATGGACACAGAGTCAGGCTCAAGAGCGAACATGCACCAGTGCCCCCATAGCAAGCCACTTGCTATTGGGGGCACTGGTCAAGGGGCAGGAACCAGGAGCATCGGCAGTGGACCCTAAGAAAAGAGAAATCGGGGCTGCCCTGTGCAAACCATTGCACAGAGCAGGCAAGTATAACAAGTTTGTTAATTTAAAAAAATAGCCGAACTCTTAATACCACTTTAAGGAGTACCAACTCTTCATTGGATGTATACATGTTCCAGGTCAGCAAAGATAAACATAGCAGATCCAGTGTCTGCACCTTGAAAAGCACTGATGGCAGCAGCCTGACCAGTCTCTACAAAAGGAAACCCTTTATGAAAGAACCATAGGGCTGCTATTACTGACCTCTACATCATCGCTTCCTTAGTCACTGGCCTAGAACTATGCAGATCAGACAGTTTTGAATTCACTGACTTCCATTTGATGCACTTTTGCCCCAGATCAGACAGTACTGAGCCCAGAAACAACCAAACAATTAGCATTTCAGCAGCAGCTCAGTCATACCAGCTGTTGTGTTTCTCTTATGACAAGTTTTCTTTAAAAGCAGAATGCACTTTGTAAAGTTACATTACCTAATGGTTATACTGCAAATCTTTTTTTTTTTCTTTTTGTTATTCCCCCCAAGAAGATCTCAAAAACAGAGTTACATACAGTAAGTACAATTAGTACTAAATGCAAAAACAGTACACATATCAAAGCGATCAACGAACATTTAAAAAGTGAAATCTAATACACAACCGCCAAAGGTGTGTGAGGTGCGAATCCCACTGAGGGTGATAAAATAAGGGCAATTTACAATATGGTAGTCAGTGTTGCAAGCCCCCATAAAATGTAGGGATAGCAACTCTGGTCTCTGGGGATTCTGATTTTAAACAACAAGAAAACAGAATAGAAGGGAGGAGGAGGAGGAGAGTTGGGGAAAAAACAGCATGCAGGAAGGGGGGTGTGTAAAGAACCAGTAGAACTAATTGGGTTAAAAGGAAGATGTAATCACTAATCTTAAAGTAAGCCATTTGTCTGTGGAGGACAAAGCAACAGGTTCACTTTAAACTTCTCGCAAACATTCTAGCATGCAGACTAATGTCAAGGTTATTTGTGAAATTATCAGGTTAATGCCCCACCCAAGCAGTACATATTCACTTTTCCTTAGCTATGCTACAGATCCATTCAGCTGCTGTGAGCAGGAGAAGCCTTGTACAAGCCCAGAGCCACTCCAGCTGAGGACTCTCTCTCAACACTCATGTGACAACACTGGCCAAATCACTATGTACAGTCACATTAGAAGAAGAAGGGAGTCACAGAATCCTCCAAACCCGGGGTACTGGGTATTGTCTTTGCTCCTGGCAGCTGAACTGTGTAGTTGGGGTTGAAGGACGTCAGAATATGTCCTGCTGCGGAAGGAGTATTAAAATGAATCTGTGATTCTAAAAAAAAAAAAAAAAAAAAATTAATCTGTGATTTTTCCTGCATGGGCAAAGCATAGGTTTGCCTTTAAAGATTTCAAATGGAGGACTAATTTCTTTTCTTTTATGTGGAGGACTAATTTCAGCTTGACACTGATCGTAAAATTGGGAAGGGAGCAAAATAATATTCTTGTGAACAAAGTAACAAAATTAAAGTGTTCAGAACCGATCAAACCTAAACCACAGACCACACATATAAACTCTCAGATTTCTTTTCTTACCCGAGTCTGATCTTGGAATTGCTTATCCACAGCATTTGCCTTGTTTTGTGCCTCCGTTATCAGCTCCTTCAAAGCCAGAGCATCATCCTTTCTCAACGAGAAGCCAACGTTTTTTAGAAGCAGCAAGATCAGCTCTATGTCCCTCTCTGTGAATGTGAACACCAGCATCTTCAATATGTCGAACACCAGGCGAGAGTCAATGACGTGGAAGTTATATAGGTGTCCTATGAAGGTGAGCAGGTTATCACACTCTTTACTTTCACCAATGTCTTGATGCAGGTCATGAAACTGCTTTACTACTGATTCCAGGATATGAGCACCCACCTGTAAAGATGATCACATGAAGATTAGAAGATATCGGACGCACACGTTCTTTTTTCTTAAGGGAATGTATAGCATTTAACACAAATTGTTAAAACAGTGTAATATGTTTTTTTTGCTGGCTAGCTGGTAAGTGGGCTGAGCGAAAATTTGTTTTGTTTGTTCTGTGTAAAGCCTTTTCATATGCACTTTAATAGCTAGTTAGAAATTAAGGCAGTTGCAATTTTTGTTTAATGTATAGCATATATTTTCACTGTTCTAGTCAGGGCTCAAATATAAAAATGCAACTTTTTAATACAGGCGTACCTCGGTTTATGAATGCCTCGTTTAATGTAATTTTCGGTTTATGAATGAAAATCCATTGAAAATAATGCCTCGGCTTACAAATTGTTTTCGCAGTACAAACGGATTAATTCGTTTTCACTGCATTTACAAATTTTTTTTAATCATGTCCCTGTATAGTAAGTGGACTTTATAAAGAGTTTTAAACAGATAAGACTTTTTTTTACCTTTTTCTGACCTCCGGAACAGATTAATTGGTTTTCAATGCATTTACAAATTAATTTGTAATCATGTCCCTGTACAGTATTTATGTCTTTAAAGTGCACTTTATAAAGAGTTTTGAACAGATAAAATACTTTTTTTTTTTTTTTATTACTTTTTTCTGACCTCTGGAACGGATTAATTGGTTTTCAATGCATTCCTATGGGAAACCGCGTTTCGGTTATGAAAAGTCCCGCAGAACGCATTACATTTGTAAGCCGAAGTACGGCTGTAAAGGAATTAGAAACACTGCATATAAATATCTCATAATTACCATCTGCATGGACCAGGCAGCACACTCAAAGTCATTTTATCAAAATTTCAGTAAAGATGTTTATTGTAATGCTGTGAATAGCCTGTATTGTGCATAGGTCTGAGAAACCAAAGACAAAATATACAGACAACTGAAATAGGGAGGTCATAGATATGGAAACGAGAAGGGAAAGATCCTAACACTTTCAAACAGCAAGTGGTGAACTGTGAGACGGCTTTCAGCCACTTCTGCTATACTATGGGACACCCCTTCCCCACTTGCAAGCTCATAAAGACCCATACAGATTTTCAATTTGAGAGTCTAAAAGTGAGCAGGCTATACTGATCCGTCTTAGCAGAATGTCTAGGAAACTCTGTAAAGACAATACCACTGCTATAACCTGCATTTAAGTAAAAAAAAAAAAAAAAAAAAACAATTGACAGAAAGTTAAACATAGACTTCATCTCGCCATGTTGGTGTCACTGGTAATAAAGATTGTGAGAGGACCCGTTTCTAAAATATTTGCTCGGTCGATGTTTACCTCAATAAAATATTACCCATCAAAACCAAAATGGTTGAATGTCATCCTAGCCTTTGGAACTTCAGTCACTCTTTGGGCTCTCCTGTCCAAGCAATATCATGACGATGTTGCAGAGTATAATAGAAGAAATGGGTTGGAATGAATGGATGAATAGAGCTCCTTGCTTTGATGGATTTGTATGCTGTGAAGCCCATTTTGTTATTTTATTCTTCAATAAATAGTAATATATACAATATGAATTCTGGTTAATTTTAAGTGTGAGTTCAACATGAAAATCCAGAATAAAAGTTTTTAAGGAAAAAAAAAAGAAAAGGTAAACATAAACCCAGTTGCTAGGTAAATCTGTACTTTGTATCTGCAACATTGCTGCACGGTGCACTGACAATCGGCAAAACTCCATCGACTGTAATGGACAGCGTGTCAACATGGAGATTACAGGCTTTTCACTGAAATGGGTGGAGTTGAGGGCAGCCATGTACTTTATAGGGGGTACAATTATTTGAACTTAGAAGTTTTTTTATCCTTTAAACTTAGGGAGCAACTAGAGGAGAAAGCCAGTTACTAATGTTATCCACTACAACCTAAAAAAATGCTAGCAGGTATCTTTTTTTGCAGAAGAGGCTTTGTATGTCTCTGACGGCATTTTTTTCTTTCCGTGTACACAGCCTGTAGCACATATGCAGTACACATTCCCACTACTTGTAAGATGCCAATAGTGGAGCTGTGCATCAGGATGATGCAATTCCATCATACATGCACAGGAATTAAATGGTTAATGGCTGTCCAATGGTTGAAGAAAGAAGAGCAGAAATTGACAACACCCAAACTAGGGAGCAAAGACTACTATAATGTGCTTAGCATACTTGCACATTATGGCAAACGCATTAGAGACCCGCTGCTGCTTGAATTCAGAAATATTCCTCGGTTTATTGGGAATGTGAATTACAATAATCTAAATCATTCAGTCAAGCAAACTTTAAAAGTGCTCCTGGGCAAGACTACATTGCCTTTTCATCTCTATGTGCCTCTTTGTAGTGAGACCTTCCCATCCGAGACCAGAAGAGCACAATACTCACAACAAGGGGACACACTGCCAGTCAGATTCTAGCTCCCAGCCGAAGGTCAAATCCTTCTGGGTATGGTATTACAAAAGAGATAAGTACATCATTTTAAAACCATATTTTCCATTAATATATGCAGATGCTGGTTGCCAAATCTTGTTACCTCAATCCCCACTGTATGATGCAGTATAGCAATAAGAAGCACGTGTTCCATCATCAGTCGGTCTTGCATTCTGGCCGGAGTAATACAAGCATTGCAGAGAATGCTGGTTACAGTATCATTCATGTCCTTTCTACTGTTGGTCATGTACAGTTCCTCAAGCTGTCCGCTGATAGAGGCCATGTTTGGTTCACTCAGTCTAAGGAAGACAAGAAAAAGGGTCAGCATTCTCTTACAACATGTAGAACTCATCACTAATGTTTTGAGGAAAATATTTAACTGGATCACTACTCCTCAGTACAGGACAATGACCCGATTTGTGTTTGGCAAAGGGCTGTTTTCTTTGTGAATTGCTGTTCCCAAAGAAAGAGAAGTATTCTGCTAGATGGGTTATTTTAGTGATAATGATTAGTCAGGTTAGAAATTAGGGGTTTTCATTTATTTGTTAAAACGAAGGTAAGGGTTTAGGGGGATTATTTTCATTCATACAAATATTTCAATGCCAGCTGCGGCAATAATCCAGCATATTAGTTAGTGGCTGGATTCAAGGGATAAGGTTCAAGTATACCTGTCACAAGAGACTAATGCAGCTGCCACTGTTTACCTCTTCTTTGGAGAATGCTAGTTTTCTGGCTTCAATGCTTTATATATTATCAACTGGGAACAAGTACAGAGATACGGAATGTTGACACTCACTTAGGATGGCCATAGAAATCTAAAATTTCAGCTGATTCTTCCTAAACTGCCCAAAATTTGAGCAGTAGTGGCCCTGAAAGTACCACCTAGCTCAACAAAAGTCGATTTTAAGATCAACAAAACTGGTTGAAATATTATCGACAGGACAGTAACTGCTTCCTATCGAAAGCAGTCAATGTTCAGGTATTTGCGCAGCTGTAGTTGCCTAAATGCAATACCTGGCACTGGAGGTTCCTCCATCCAGATTGGTAGCATGAATGGGGAATCGAGCCGTGTATAGCTAAATTTACAACATGCATATTCTGGGTCAATGCCTCAAACATATTGAGGACAGAGACAGCCAGCTATCTAGCATTTTCAAAAGGAAGCCAGAATTGCAGCTCCTATACTTTTCTCAAAACAAGTGTACTTTAAAAGTTAGAAAGAAATCTCTACTATGAGAAATAAGTAGACAAGGGCAAAGCAACAGTTTATCTTCAGGAATTCAATTCACTATATTTGGATTGAACTTCCCTGTTCAAAAATAGAAAAAAACTTCAACATGTACACAGTGCTATTAAACACTAAAAGAAGGTGGTTCACAAGAAAAGTACATACTGATAGTAAAAATCTGTCACAAAAAGGTGATTCAGCTCCAGGTATCACTGTAAGGGCTCATGTACACTGCAGCTGATAAACGGATGTTCAGGAGCTTTTCTGCATTTTTTTTCAGCAGCCCCTGAACGCTCCCTATTGTTTTCCTATGTGTCCATGTACACATCTTCGTTTACAGTCGTTTGCAGGCAGTTGAGTTTACAGTCGTTTTTTTAAACGCACCAAACTTGCGTTCAGGATTAGATTTTATCAGCGTTTCAAATGCCAAACACTTGTAAACATGGCTAACCGTGTTTAGAAGCGTTTTTAACTGTTCTATATCCAAATGCTGTCCAGAGCCTTTTTTCATCCTCAGAAATGCATGCAAAGCGTTTTCCATATATTCAAATGGACCTGATACACCAGCGCAGTCAGTTCCAGGTTTTGCGTGAAGGAAAAAATGCCGCATTATGCTCATGATGGATTCCATAGTAAATACAACCAGAAAAGACAGGTCATCTCAACACATACTGCTCTCTCTGTTGCTGCTCTCTCTATTTCTCTCAAAATGTCTGAAATAGTTACTTTTTTACTGTTTTTCAGTGCATTCTGGGCATTTTGGAAGGTCTCCTGATGTTATCTTTAAAAAACTCTTCTAAACGCAAACACGTATAAACGCAGTATGCAAACGCAGCTAAACAGACATTTTTTTAACACACGTCTTCCACCAGTCAGTTTCCATCGTTCAGAAGTGTTTTCCAAAGGTCCTGTGTACATGAGCCCTAACTATCGTTGTAAGCGCCTTACTAAGCACTCATGTACAGAAATAGGAGGCGGCAATTCCGCACTCCACCAGCAGGTGGCACTTTGAGTGAAATGTAAAATTGTACTTTTAACATGGTGTGTCAAGGTAGCCATAAATAGATCAAGATTCATCCAGCTCAGCAGGGAATTCTCTTGATTGAACAAGTTGGAAAACTTTTGTTGATCAACATCTGCAGCCGCTGATTAGTTTATTGTGATAGTGCTGGGTGCAGCTGTCAGAATACAGCATCCCAGCTGGTGGGGTGGTGGAATCCTCCATTCACCACCATTGTGTGGATGAAGAAATCTGCTAAATGTATTTTCCATCATTTTACCTTTTACAAAAAATAAAGTAATAAATGCACTTTTTTTGCAGGTAAAAAAAATAAAAATTGCATTTATTTTTTCTTCTAAGGAGCCTGCGCAGCATTGCAATCTCAGGCTCAGCAGACTCTCAGCATAGCTGTTTGCCTGTACCTCATATGGGCAGGCAGTTACATGAAAACAGGAAGATCAATGAACTACTAGAGCGCTCATCAGCACCTTCACAGTTCATTGAGAACTACAAGCCATCAGCCATAATGATGGTACTTGTAGGCATTTATTCACAGGAAACTGTGAATGAATGATGTGACCGTGTGAGCAGAGCCTTGCATGGCTGCATTATTTTAAAATTGGGACAGTGGGTGTGTGGAAAAGATCCCTCACCCACTGTCACAGGGATGGTGGATCAGGGGGAAGAGGCTGCAGATGATGGAACAAGTAACATGTTCTGAAGGTGAACTTATCCTTTAACCACTTAAAGACCACCCTATAGCAGATATACTGCTACAGGGTGGTCCTCATGTGCAAAATCATGTATATAAATGTGATTCAGCACTTCCTCCTAGGGGGGCTTCGGCTATGATCACTGACAGCAGAAACCGACCTGTGGGAGCCGGAGAGTGGATGTCCACCACCACCCGCAGCTTGTAGCTATGTAAACAAAGCAGAGCTCTGTTCTGACAGGGGAAGTGGTGGATCTTGTGTCCCTCCAAAGCAGGAAATAAGATCCATCACTTCCCTTAGTAAAAGTAGCACACGGTGAATAGAAAACACATAGCTAGGCACACAGTTAACCCTTTGATTGCGCTAGAAGTTTAAACTCCTTCCCAGCCAGTGTCATTAGTACAGTGTCAGTGCATATTTTTAGCACTGATCACTGTATTACTGTCACTGGTTCCCACAAAGTGTCAGTTAGTGTAAAAATGTCTGCCGCAAAATCGCAGTCCCATTATAAGTTGCTGATCACTGCCATGACTCGTATTAAAAAAAGAATTCCCGTATATATCGCATAGTTTGTAGGCACTATAACTTTTACGCAAACCAAACAATATACGATTATTGGGATTTTTTTCTTTTATAAAAAATAAGTAGCAGAATAGATATTGGTCTAAATTTATGAAGAAATTTGATATTTTAAAAAAATTTTTATTGGATATGTTTTATAGCAGAAAACGAAAAAAAAAACTTTTTTCCAAAATTGTCGGTCTTTGTTTATAGCGCAAAAAATAAAAACCGCAATTGTAATCAAACACCAACAAAAGAAAGCTCCATTTGTGGGGAAAAAAAAAGGACATATATTTCATTTATGTACAGCATTGCATGACCGTATAATTGTCAGTTAAAGTGACGTAGCACCATTTCACAAAAAATGGCCTGGTCAGGAGGGGGGGGTACATTTTCTGGATGTCATGTGGTTAAGAGGTGATTCCCTCGTATTGGAAAGATAACCTCTCAAAGTGAAAATCTGACAGTGGTTTTAAGCCTCTTCTACTCTATCTATATGTATATATAAATCCCTATAGATATACTTTAAGAATTGTCTAAAGGTCAATTATAACTGAAAGTATTCCTTTCTTCTGTGATTTGATGCAAAGCCTGCCTTTCTGCAAAGAAGATCTACAGCTGATCAATCATGAGCTAATTAACAATTAGGAAATACAATAGATTAATGTCTAGGTATCTATTATAGTATAAGGACACAGATGAGGATGGAATAAAAATCTCAACTTCCAGTTGCAAAGGGTAAACTCCATACATCACCAAATGACCCGCAGCATACGTGCACAACAAGAGAGTAAATTAATTAGCAGAAGCCTGTGAGTGATTTAAAGTCCATGGAGTTTCAGCCTGTCAATTAAAAATATGAACTATAAAGTAGTTGATGCACTCCAGGCCTGGAGCCAAGACAGAGCACACAACTCAGGAGAAAGGACACCATTATTTAGGTGGATCAGTCATGTGATACCTGTTCATCAATCCTTTCACACTCTTCTTCAACCTCTCCAGTTCTTCCCTCTTCTTAGCATCCACAGCTTCAGAGGACTGTCTTAGTTGGGGAGGGACATACTTACTGCCCACATCTTTGGAGTTCTAAGAAACCAGAATATGAAAGACACATTTAATAGAAGACCAACATCAATCACTTAGCAACCTGTTAAGATTCTTCCGTTCATTTTCCAACCTGTAATAGAGACAGTTGACATCTAACCAGTTATCACAGGAAACACAATTTCCCCTAATTTATAAAGGTCAGTGTGCATATAAATCAAATCTAAGAATGGCAAAGTAAAAATGGACCAATTAACATGAACCTGTGCCCAGATCATGCACACTAAAGATTTTACATTATCTGAACAAGCAGTAAATCACTTACAAACAAGCCCTCATAAAGCTCTGTGTCTATAAGCATTGTGCAGAAATTCATTCTTTAAATTTCACAGCACAGGCACAGCTGATTTCTATGAGAGCAGATTTTGGAAGGCCTTCTAACAAGCACAACCAGCAGGTGCTACCATGCTTTTAGAAGCCAACAGACATGGAGTTCAGAGTCATTTGGGCTCGTTCAGACAGGGAAGTAGAGTGTAAAAATAGGCATATGAGGTGCAATTTTACCACTCCCCTTTAACTAACACAGTGGCAGAAAGAGGTTGTACACATGCCGCAGCATAAATGATACCCCATGTCATGTTCAGCAGGCAGTACCACTGCTAAATGAGAGCCTTTCAAGTGAACAGGGCTGTGATGCATCTGTTGTACAACAGGTGTAACGTACACAGTTGTGCCTCAGTGGTACAGGATTTTCAGGGTTAAAACAGGCAGTGAAGAGGTGACATATCGTCTCCCAGCCACTTGTCAACCACCCTCCTAAAGCAATTTCCTGTACATCAACCTTTCAGAGGGATGGCAAAGGCTGCCACCAGTGTAAACATGCTCTTTGCTGTGTTCTTTGCAAGTAATTTACTTCAGTTTAAAGCAGAACCCCAGGCAAAAACTTGCTTTTTTTTTTTTTTTTTTTTATTAAAATGTGCTGTGTAATCCCCAGCTTCGGGGGTATGAACCGCACTGATCGCTATGTCTAGAGGTACTATAAAGGCTGTGGTTACCTACGCAGGCCATACACTATACAAAAATCATTCGAAAGCACTTTCAAAAAACAATAATACAATTGATATATTTTTGGTATATTGTATATCCATTGTTATTCTATCCCCAGCTCAGTCTCCATAAAGCTCCAGCCTGTGGGCAGAGCCTTGGCTTCATCACGTATAATGCAGGGACATAAACCCCAAATTATACATGGAGGAAGCTGGACTGCAATCGTAGCCAGCTTACAGAGGCAGCTGCAGGAAGCCAGAAACGGGACTGGGGGGAACCTACTGGAGTGAGGAAAAAGGTAAGTATTCACTCCCTATTCCGGCAACCTAGACATATCGGGCCTTTAACCCTTGCAATGCAGGAGTCTCCATTGCAAGGGGGATTTTTAAATATTCCTGGGGTTGGTCTCATGAGGTGTATGTCACTGCCTGGATCATTTCCCATTTTTATGTTATACCACATGGGTGTATTGTTTTCATACAGAATCTTGCTGACAGAACCTGTGTAAAAAGTTTACTCTCTGTACGCATGTAATATTTGTTCTAATGTTTATATGCATATAGCACAGATGGACCCTATTGTCCATCGCAGCTGCACAGAGTCCACATGTAAATAAAGTGCAGCCGATGGCACCACCACCAATCATTTACTATTGATGTTGACAAGTCGGCCCTGAGTGATTCTGCCCATTCGCTGCTGACACATGATTGATTCATCCAGTGGTAAATGTAAATATCAACAATACGTCATCAGGCACAGCAGTGCCGCTGCTACACGCTGATATTTACATGTCGGCCTAAAGCATTGGTCAATGGGGTCCATGCACACCATATAAACATTAGCAAAAAATAAAAAAAAAAGTTTTCTGTGTACAGCATAAAATACAGTCCATGCAGGATTGTGAGAGCAGAAATATCTAATTTTGGTTTATGCAGTTATCCACTGTGGAACGTAGGAGTTCGATTTGTACACAGAAAATTGTACATACATGTGCATCGCTGCTGGACACTATACTTCCGAAGATGAGGCTCTCATACAGAAGCCGTACTATTCCTCCTCTCCCCTTACCTATTCACAGAACACATTGTATTCTGTGAACCATTTACACACTTGTGCTGTTTAAAGGATACGGTGACCTGAGTCTACTTTATGAACACAACCTAAAATGTAACAGAAAGATTTTCTTGACTTCATGATTAATCATTTAAAATGTTACTAAACCCACAACAGTAAAATTAGTCTGTATATGCAGAAAAGCATGCTTGTAATACTCAGTGTGGAACATAAAGGGTTAATCCTCTGCATTGTGTAAAAAGGCTGTTTGATCCTGACTTTTCTGCCCCTCTTCTTGTTCAAATGTCTACACTGATAAGACAAACTGAACCCGTAGCCCTTCTGCACATGCTCAGTTTAGTGTGTACTGCTAGAGTTTTTTTTTTTTTTCTTGGGGGAGTGCATGTGATCAGCACAGGGCCAATCAGCACTGTCCAGACAGAGGGTCAGGGGTTTTGCATCCTCCTAGAGCAGAAAGAAAACTCCTCCTACAAGCTTTAACCAGTGCTCTGCTGAAGTCACAAGACTGCTGATGAGAAAAGGTATTTAGCAGTTTATATTTACTAAAATAGCTGCATTATCATGCTCTGTGTACTGTGGGAGACTAGATATAGTGAATACAGGCTCATGGGTATAATAACACTTTACGCTAGCTACTCTCAGGTGTACCCGTATGTACAGGTGAAGCTCGAAAAATTAGAATGTCGTGCAAAAGTTCATTTATTTCAGTAATGCAACTTAAAAGGTGAAACTAATATATGAGATAGACTCATTACATGCAAAGCAAGATAGTTCAAGCTGTGATTTGTCATAATTGTGATGATTATGGCTTACAGCTCATGAAAACCCCAAATCCACAATCTCAGAAAATTAGAATATTACATGCAATCAATAAAAACAAGGATTGTACATAGAACAAATATCGGACCTCTGAAAAGTAGAAGCATGCATATGTACTCAGTACTTGGTCTGGGCCCCTTTTGCAGCAATTACTGCCTAAATGCGGCGTGGCATGGAAGCTATCAGCCTGTGTCACTGCTGAGGTGTTATGGAAGACCAGGATGATTCAATAGCGGCCTTCAGCTCTTCTGAATTGTCCGGTCTCATGTCTCCCATCTTTCTCTTGGCAATGCCCCACAGATTCTCTATGGGGTTCAGGTCAGGCGAGTTTGCTGGCCAATCAAGCACAGTAATCCCACGGTCATTGAACCAGGTTTTGGTGCTTTTGGCAGTGTGGACAGGTGCAAAGTCCTGCTGGAAAATGAAGTCAGCATCCCCATAAAGCTCGTCTGCAGAAGGAAGCATGAAGTGCTCCAAAATCTCCTGGTAGACGGCTGCGTTGACCCTGGACTTAATGAAGCACAGTGGACCAACACCAGCAGATGACATGGCTCCCCAAATCATCACAGACTGATGGAAATTTCACACTGGACTTCAAGCATCTTGCAGTGTGTGCCTCTCCATTCTTCCTCCATACTCTGGGTCCTTGGTTTCCAAATGAGATGCAAAATTTGCTCTAACCAGAAAAGAGGACTTTGGACCACTGAGCAACAGACCAGCTCTGTTTTTCTTTAGCCCAGGTAAGACGCTTCTGACGTTGTTTGTTGTTCAGGAGCGACTTGACAAGAGGAATACGACATTTGAAGCCCATGTCCAGGATCCGTCTGTGTGTGGTGGCTCTTGATGCACTGACTCCAGCCTCAGTCCACTCCTTGTGAAAGTCCCCAACACTTTTGAACTCCCTTTTCCTGACAATCCTCTCCAGGCTGCGGTCATCCCTGCTGCTTGTGCACATTTTTCTTCCACACTTTTCCCTTCCACATAACTTTCTATTAATGTGCTTTGATACAGCACTTTGGGAACATCCAACTTCTTTTGCAATTACCTTTTGTCTCATGCTCTCTTCTTCTTCTTCTTCTCTCATCCTCTTCTTCTTCATCCTCAGAGGCTTTCCTTCCTTATGGAGGGTGTCAATGATGGTTTTCTCCACAACCGTCAGGTCAGCAGTCTTTCCCATGATTGTGATTCCTACTGAACCAGACTAAGAGACCATTTAAAAGCTCAGGAATCCTTTGCAGGTGTTATGGCTTAATTAGCTGATTAGAGTGGGACACTTTGAGCCTAGAATATTGCACCTTTTCACAATATTCTGATTTTCTGAGATTGTGGATTTGGGGTTTTCATGAGCTGTAAAAAAAACCATAATCATCACAATTATGACAAATCACGGCTTGATTTTATTTTGAACTATCTTGCTTTGCATGTAATGAGTCTATCTCATATACCTTTTAGTTTCACCTTTTAAGTTTTGCATTACTGAAATAAATGAACTTTTGCACAATATTCTAATTTTTCGAGTTTCACCTGTACATTCTAGTAACCAAAAGGTGAACTCCAAGCGAGCAGGTACTGTAAATACACAGAGAGAAACATATGTGAACGGTCATACCAGCCAACAAATTTGTACATCTCTATCAGACAGTACAGCCAAGAGGGTGACACCATATTCTATTAGCATTAAGGAATACAGTGCTTTCGCTTCCCCAGTGGGCAATCTATCCCTCCCTGACCTCAGCTGCTACGGCTACAAAGATCGCACACAGCTTTTGGACCGGTGTGCTCAATCCTTAGGTGTTTGTAATGTCCTGAAGTTCAGGCAGAACGTAGAGAGTGGGGGAGGGATACCTAGTCAGAGTTTTTCTGGACAATGTACAGCCAACATGTATGGAATGACAAAGGATCACTTTTTTTTTAATTTACTCTGAAGAGTGGGTTGTAATGTGCTTGGGATGCTGCAGTGCTTTTTTTTTTCTGGAAAACTCCCCTAAAAGGTGAACCCTTTAAAGTGACTATCATTTAAAGATGGGTTCACACTAGTGCCCCCCCAAAAGTCTGAAGTCATATTCCAAGATACTGTATTTGGCAGTCAAAACCTAAAGAGCGTATTAGAATCCAAATTTCAGCAACAAATTTGGACCCACAGGGAGCTTCTGGCAGACTCTTAACATTGCCTGATATCAACAATTTAAAGGGAAACTATAATGGTGTGATCAGATCTAGATTTTCCAACTTATACAAGGTTATGAACTGATGCAGAGTTCTCCCTAGATTTTTTTTCCTGTTGGGTGTGGTTCAAAAAAAAAAAAAAAAAAAAAAAAAAAAGAATTGCAGCATCACTAAGAGATGGACATCCCGCACAAGCCCCCTATGTAATAGTACATAGGGAGTGACAGTTACGCTTCATGAACTTGTCAAGGAGGGGTCTATTAAACCCCTGATATCTCCTCTGCAAGAGTACATAGGGAATGACAGTTACCATTTTTTTTTAACCTATGCCTCAGGGGTCTATTATTTCTCATGTCTTCTCTGCCCCCAGCCCATACAGACTGGGGGACAAAGAGTTCTTGATCTGCTACTTACAAGGCCACTGCCACTAGAATTTTCATATCTCTTAACCTGGAAGTGCTTAGAGCTTTGGATCCAACCTAAGCAGAAGAGACCTGTGAACAGGAGTTCAACAATTTCCCATTCTTCTCTATTCTAAATTCCCCTGCTGGGGACTACACGGCGGAATTTGAAGGCAGGAGCAAGATCTGCAGAGGCCGGCTTGAAAAGAAGGCCCTGGAAAAAAATTGTTGTGTTTTACATTATTAGTATAAACATTAATTACAGATAAAACTTTCAGCCTGGCTTGGCTGGATGAGGAAAGGGACAGAATGGACATGAGCAAAACAGGCAGCATTGTACACTGTAGGTGCAGGGACTTCACAAAAGGCTCAGTAGGACTGTGAACAGCAGAACCCAGCTACAAGTGCCTATTCAAGGGCCATAGCAAAAAAAGTGATTATCTCAGGTCTACTATAAGGCAGTTATACCCATTTCCCTCTCTGCAGCTAACTCCAAACTTAAAAGACGAGTATGTGTTTTTCCCCCCAAATTATACTTACCTAGGTGGACACAGCATTGGTCTGATGCTGCATCTGTCCCCTGCTGGCTCCAAATGTGAGAACTCAGCATTCACATGACTGCTGATCATTGAGTTCTCACAGCCGATCTGAGCAGAGACTGTCAGTCACTGCTATCTGCTCTGCCCCCCCTTGCACTCTGGAGTGCTGGGCTGTGGAGGGGGAGCGAGAGGTTGACTCAGGCTCTCAGAGATCCTCTGAGAGGTTGAGTCAGGTTCTGCTCCAGATTCTGGGGTGGATCCCGACTTTAAGCCTGGGTTCACACTGATGCAGGGAGGAATATGCAGTGGTTTCTGTGCAAATTCCGCACCGCATCACAATCGCACCCCGTTCCTGCCAACTGCTGCAGATGTGTATGTTAAGTTAACAACACCCCGAAATCGGTTCGCAAAACAAGGTGTGATGTGCAGAATCAGATCGCATGGGTGTGATCTGAATACGGGTCCTGCACCTTTTTGGTGCAGATGTGGTGTGGTTTGAGCCATACATAAGGTATGGCTCAAATCACACCGCACAGAATTCACATGTGATTTGCACAGGAATGTGGTGCAGTTCCTGTGCGAATCACATGCGATATGCCGCACCACATCAGTGTGAACCCAGGCTAAACTCAGGTTCTTTCCCCAGCCTGGACCAGCTGAGTGATGTCAGCCGACAGCGAGCTTTCAGCCCACTCTCAGCTAAAAATGGGTCACAGGAGTGCAGAACAAACTGCACTCCTGTGATCCATAGAAGTACAGCCAAAAGAGCTTTGTCTGTACTACTTATTTAAGAAAGCACCAAACACTACAGGGATCTGTGGAATGGTAGATCTTCACTGCAGAGTCACACCTGTCTCCCTCAGCAGAAAATAAGAGCCTGCTAGATTGTACAATTCATATTCTTCCATAAATGAAGTGCTTTATGCTAATGACATGACCACATGCCAGTTCAAGTCTTTTGGAACTTTAGATCCCAAAGATGTCTCCCATCCCATAACATCAAATATATTCTGATCATTCTTACCACAGCAGCAGGAAAGGGGGGAGATTACAATTTTACAGTGGTAAAATATGCTGTAGCTATAATCGTGGTGTTTTTCTCCACCCCGGGAGTTACAGGAGGTATGTACAACCATACACGCATGTGCATGATGTATTCCCTGAATACAGACATTTTGCATTAGGTGGGTGTGTCATATGGTCATACTTGTGTTTAGGCTGACAGGTGTTCTAACCATTGCAAACCTAGCTCACCAAAATCCCACCTTGTTGGCAACAGCAGCGTCCTCCTCATCTCCACCGTCTGGATCATGTCGTAATGTCTCTTTAGACTGATCTTCTTCATCCTCCACCTCCGATTCCTGACCCACACCATCATCATCCTCACTGTGCTCCTCCAGAGAATTATCATCCTCACCTTCCTCCTCCGCACCACTCTCACTTTCTTCCAGTCCATCCTTATCTTCCTCCTCCTCACTCCCCCCACTTTCATCCTCTGAATCTTTTTGGAGGGGATGATCAGATAGTCCCCAGATCTTCTGAACAGTGTCCTCCTCCTCCTCCTCCTCCTCACCGTAAAGCCCAGACACAGAGCTCCCCGGCTCCAGCACCCCCAGGATGTAATCCAGACCATCCTGAGTGAAAGCCTGGGGCAGGGAACTCTTATTCTTCCTCTTATTCATCCTCAGACTTCTCTCCAGCTTCCGGATCTCCTTCTCCTCCTTCTCATTGGCCTCCAGCAGAGCCTTCCTCCTGGCCTCCTCTCTGCTCATCTTCTTCCTTCTCTTCCTGGCCTCTGCCTTCGGCCTCCCCCCAGCTGGACTCTGCCTGTCCTGTCCTCCAGCCTCTGCTCTCTGGACTGGGGGTGTCCGGGGAGCCTTGTCCTTCTGTGGATCCTTGTCCTTCTGTGGAGCCTCCTCTGCGGGCTGGGCGCCCACATACCTCCTCTGATAATACTCCTTCCTTCTCAGCTTCTTGGACAGGCGCTTCTCCTTCCTCAGCTCCTTCCGGCTCTTCCCTCTACCTCCAGACCCCGAGTGATCCCCCGATACCCGGCTATTGCTGTTCTGCGACCCGCCGACCTCCGCCTTCTCCACGAACGTCTGGACTGACAGCGCCAGCTTCCGGATCTTTGCCGGCCGAGACCCAGCAGGATCTTCCGCTTCATCTTCCTCTTTAATTTCCTATGTTATACACCACTGAGCGGCTAGCATGGCCAGCACTCGGCACTCATGCCTGGCATGGGCGCCGCCATGTTGGAGACAACGAGCTGCTTCCGTCCTGTAGAGCGGCCAGAGTGTCAACCTGAACATGGCACATGCTGCACAGCGCCCCCTGCTGGACACTCTGAGCTGTACATGTGTCTGGTCTAATTATTGGCCCTAACTAATTAAATAATAATACTTTTTTTATTGTTATTATTCCTTTGTTATGAATATTTGTATTGTTATTTAGCCACCGTGCTGCCCACCTGGCAGTACTAGGGTTGTTGGTCTGAATCTCAACCGCAGCACCACCTGCCTGGAGTTTGTATGTTCTCCCTGTGCCTGCGTGGGTTTCCTCCAGGTACTCTGGTATCCTCCCACACTCCAAAGACATGATGGTAGGTTAATTGGCTCCTGTTTACACTGGCCCTAGTATGTGTATGTATGAATGTGAGTTAGGGACCTTAGATTGTACGCACCTTGAGGGTTAGGGACTGATGTGAATGTATATAATATATATATGTAAAGCACTGCGGAAATTATATATATTATATATATATAAGTACCTGAAATACATTTTTTTAAATAAAATATTTATATTAGTATTAGTGTTACTATTGCTATTATAGATATTATTAGTAATATTATTAGCATTAATATTGTTATTATTCATTTATTATGATTATTTGTATTATGATTATTATTATTATTATTATTAATATTAGTAGTATTCATTTATTATGAATATTTGTGTTATGATTATTTATTAGTATATTAGTAGTAGTATTATTCATTTATTATGTTTTTTTGTATTATGATTATTATTATTAGTAGTAGTAGTACTAGTCATTTATTATTATTATTTATATTTATTATTATTATTATTTTACTATTATTATTATTAGTATAGTATTCATTTATTATGATTATTTGTAATATGATTATTATTACTAGAATTATTATTAGTAGTAGCATTATTCATTTATTATGATTATTTGTATGACTATTATTGTTATTACTATTATTATTAGTAGTAGTATTATTCATTTATTATGATTATTTGTATTATGATGATGATTATTATTACTATTAGTAGCAGTAGTAGTATTCATTTATTATGATTATTTGTATTATGATTATTATTTGTATTACTATTATTATTAGTAGTATGCATTCATTATGATTATTTGTAATATGATTATTATTATTACTATAATTATTATTAGTAGTATTATTCATTTATTATGATTGTTTGTATTATTATATTATTATTAGTAGTAGTATCATTCATTTATTATGATTATTTGTATTATTTATGGTGATGATGATTATTATTATTATTAGAAGTAGTGGTAGTATTAATTTATTATGATTATTTGTATTATGATTATTATTATTACTATTATTATTAGTAGTAGTATTCATTTATTATGATTATTGGTATTATGATGCTGCTGCTGATTATTATTGTTAATATTATCATTAGTAGTATTACCTTTATTAGTATTATTATTTGTATTATGATGAATTATTATTATTACTACTAATATGATTATTATTATTAGTAGTAGTAGTAGTATTACTTTCATTATTATTATCTTTATTATTATTCATTTATTATGATTATTTGTATTATGATGATGATGTTACTACTATTATTAATTTGATTATTAGTAGTAGTATTACTTTCACTATTTGTAGCATTACAATTATTATTATTCATTTCTTTGTTACGATTATTTGTATGGCGATTATTATTATAAGTGTGTAGTAATTTTATTAGTTTGAATATTATTATTGTTTTGTTACAATTATTATATATTTTTTTCTCAATCCAAAGAGCTGAAATTTATGAGCTCTTGTACATGGGCATATAATAAGCTGTGTTCAGATCGGTTATTAGTACTGAGCAGTATTGTATGCTATTGGCCCCTTCACACTGCTCTGTTATGGTCTGTTGGATTTAACTGCCAAACCCCCAAAAAAGGAAAATTGGCTTTCATGGTCTCACTGTGACGCTGTACACATGTAAACATTTGTGCTGACATCTATATGTGTACAACATAGACTGTGAATGGACGCTGTTTGCTGCTGATGCTGACAAGTGAATTCAGGGCCATATATACATCAACAATGTATAGGTAACAGCACAGAATGACATCGGCCTTCTGACCTTCACTGCATGATTGACTCATTCTGGAGGAGATACAAAAAATCAATAGCGTGTAATGAATGGTGCAGGTGCCGAATAATAGACATCTCAACTGACACAGAGATAGACAGGTGTATGTCCATATGAGATGCAGTACAGGAAACTCTTTATGCAGAATTTTTGCTTTCAGCAAGATCGGCCTAATCAATACAGTGAAGGAAAATAAGTATTTGATCCACCCCCCCTGATTTTGAATGTTTGCCCACCCACAAAGAAATGATCAGTCTAAAAATCGAATGGTAGGTGTATTGTAACACTGAGAGACAGAATTGCAAACAAAAAAATTCAAAAGAAATGCATGTCTAAACAAATTATGCACTGATTTGCATGTTCATGAGGGAAAATAAGTATTTGATCCCTATCATTCAGCAGGATTTCTGGCTACCAGGTGTCTTTCATACAGGTAACAAGCTGAGATTAGAAGCAGTCTCTTAAAGTGAGTGTTGCTAATCTCATTTTGTTACCTGTATAAAAGACACCTGTCCACAGGAGCAATCAGACAATCAGATTCCAAACTCTCCACCATGGTAAAGACCAAAGAGATGTCCAAGGATGTCAGGGACAAGATTGTAGACCTACACAAGGCTGGACTGGGCTACTAAACATTCAAAATCAGGGGATCAAATACTTCTTTGCTTCACTGTACGTCCGTGTGCATGAGGCCGATAACATGAAGCTCAATTCACAACACTAACACACCAGAACAAGTATTGTTATTTAAAAAAAATTGACATTTATAGCTATGACCAAATAAATTAGAGAATTACTGCCACATGGCTGAAAATAGACGGAATTGAGCCTTATTATGCATGTTTCCCATCAACCACGTGATTGACTGTTCACGCAGAAAGCACTACACTATGGGAATCGGTGAGGTGTTGTCATGTGTCCTCCCATACCTGGAAGTATGTAGTCTTTGATGAACTCTGATGATTGACAGAGGAGAGTACAGAAGGTAAATAATAAATCCTAGCTCCAGGTTAGGAAGCCTGCTCCCCAGGGGCACTCCGCACACACACAATTTACATTTATTATACTCGTAGATACATTTTCTGCAGCTGTCATGTCCTTTTCTCCACCACCGTCAGCGGTCTAAAATGCTGCAGAGTGCGGCGCTCACATACTTACCAGCTGCCAGGACTGGAGGAAGACAGAGAGGGCAACCTTGGAGCATGGAGAGGGTGAGTAGCATTTGCTAATTTTTGGTGGGAGGGGAGTGCTGCTAAAATAAGCAAAGAGTGCTTAATTATTTTAAAAGCTAACTCCATCTTTTAGGTTGCTTTCAGACAGGTGATGGATGGGCAGTAAAAACAGGTGGCTGAGCTGTGGTTTTTCTACCTCGTGGCAGCCCACCTGAACTGTAAAACAACAACTGGACACGGCTGTTCACATTCTGCACCCACAATGCTTTGCTGAATAATAAACTGGGGTGCAGAGTTTGACATGCGGCACCAATTGTCAAACTTGCTCATGGAGGTCAGTGAAGTCGTGCTGCAACTGTGTGCAATGCATGTGTAGCACTACCCCTTAGGAGTTGCTGAAGTTTTGGTTCTCCCTATAAATCTGCATAGCCAGGCAACATGCATTTTCACAAAGACTTACATCCAGGAGTAAAAAATCCTTGAGCTTGTGTTTGATATTTTTTTAGGGGGATATTAACTTGGATGGGGAAAGGGGTATATGGGATCCCCAATGGAACCGATGAACCGAGGAAAACATTCTGGAACTATTTACAAGTCTACTACAACACAGTATCTGTTGGAGAGTCAGATATCATCTCCCAGTGTACCTCTCCAAACCCCAAATATTCTTGATCTGGCTGCCTGAAGGAAATCCCTGGACAGGGGATCCATTTCTGCCACTTTAAAAGAAGACAGTCCCAGCAGGTTTGCTAATCTGGTTTTCCACCAGAGTACTCCTTCCCCTATCTGGCCCAGGGGTGTAGGATTACTCACTTGTCCCTCTCCTGTGCTGCTATTGATTCGGTGGCTGCTACCAGTCCTTCTAGCTGGGCCGCTCCTCCTCTGCTGCTTAGGTGGTCCTCTCTCAGGGGGTCAGTAAGGGTGCAAGCTTTCTTCCTGTCCAGCTCTTCCGCCTATAGGTGAGCCCCTCTCCCATCTAGGCCCCCTCCCAGGCTCCTTCACTTCAGCCTACTTCTTCAACTTTCACCCGAAACTCTCCTGCTGCTGAGCAGGCTCTCTCACTTTTAATGGTTGTCCTAGCTCTTTGCCAAGCCTCCTGCTGGGGATTGGCCAGGATCCCTTAACAGTACAAGCCAGACACTCTTTAGATCCACCCACTGCTTCTAGACATTTCCCCAAAGTTCTAAAGTTCTAGAGCAGGGAGAAATTCCAGAGGGCTGCTGGCCTCTCAGGTCTGACCCAAATTTAATCTCCCACTGACTGTTGCACCTGGGCTGCTGCTCAGCCCCTGTGTAAGCCATGTACCGGGGTGGGCTCCCCAGGATACAGTGAAGTCACGAACGAGGAAAGCAACCCCAACACCAGCTTTTGCCACAACAGAATTTTACTTAGATGTGGCAAATAAACACAACCACAAATGCTGGGAACATACAATAAATTTACATACACCCAGCCCAAAGGCTGAGACCCCTGTGCTGCACAGCACGGCGCCTTCTGATGGATGAAGGTAGAAAGTGAAGTAAATTTACCTACTGGCGGGCACAAGTAAGCTGCCACACCTTACCTGTTATTACCCTAAAAGAGCACGAATCAGTGTATGGGTGTAC